CACACACACACACACACACACACACACACACACACACACACACACACACGCACACACGCACACACGCACGCACAATTTAAGCAAATATGAAAGTAATATTGATATATAAAAACTTCTTTATGGAGCAAGGATTTTATCAAAGTAACTGCTTATGGTTTTTAAATAGGAAACTGTTCTAAAAGAATAAAAATTTGTTTAAAAGTACTTGTCAAGCTTTATCTTAATGTTATAAACTAACTTTATACATTCTTCAATACTCTTACAACTAACAGTCTCAGTTTTCAATAACCATAGTTAGAGCCCAATCAATGAGTATAAAAATGCTAAAAGGAAAATAAGTATGTTTGTCATTGCTTCTAGGTCAACAGATTACCAAGGGAGCAGAGGAGGAGGCACCTTTAAGAGTGTCTTATAGCTCCAGTAAATTAGCTCTCTTCCTGATCATAGAGGACAAAGAGAGAGATTTCAATGATTGTCCTATAACCAGTACACACTCCACATGATGAGGATCATCTCAGAAGGAAATTTTTCAATGATTCCAAGGAAAGCCATGGTTAATGTACCCTGACCCATCCCAACAAACGACACAACTTGTAAAGAAAAATTGAAAGAGCCAACAAAAAAAGGCTGAGAGGAGGCAGATTTTAGCTCCCAGCTTTCTCAGTACAGCACTGTTTAAAGATACAATTTCTGTTTTGTTGTTAATTCTTGGAGGTGCCATGGACCAAAGTCTGATTTTGCTATGAGCCTTAGGTTCTGGTAACATGGCAATGTTAAATTCCTGTCTGAGGCTTTAGCATGTCACAGTTGCTGTGTGCCTCTAATTTTCATAATTGCTCATTCTACTCTAGTTTTTGTGTCTGTTGTACTTATCTGTCTACCCAATGCCGTCTTTTCACTTACTTATCTCCAGAAAGTCCAGTACCTGTCTTCAGGTTGTTGCTCCAGAGAGAAGTGAGAGGAGATCATGCCCCTTGCTCAAGGCTGCCAGGCTGCTGACCATTAGCTGAGGCTCAGATAGGGCTCTATGAGGGCTGGGGCTGAATTCTCCCTAAGGACCAGGCACCTCCCTTTTCCTTCCTGTTCACTGAGGTTCTGTTTCTTTCATGCTTATATTTTTTTCTTGTCTCACTAGAATCAGGGTTCCTTGTGTAAGTTCCTGTAGCTAGAAAAACTTAAAAATTGTTTGAGGTATAATCTCAAAGACAGATTTATTGGAATTTTAGAGAAATAAACAAGGAAGGTCACCTGCAAATCTTATTAGCTGCCAGAAGGATGGGGTTGGGTAAGAGGAAGAAAGTCATACTTTCTGAATCAGAACTTTAAAAAAGCAGGCAGCCTCAACAATGGTGTTAACAGGATTGTAGTTACATCCTGTGCCCCAACAAGCCAGGTTCTGCCATCCATCCTTGGTAAGCCAAATAAATAGCAAAAAGCAGGAAAAGCTTTCATTCAATTTGGGAACATATGAAAAAAGCATAAAGAGATTCAGAGACATCTCACCCTCCCCTATATTTATCTTTGTGATCCTTAAAGGAAGTAAGTTTTCAATAGAAGAATGCGATGCATAAGTAATCAATCTGGCCAAGGTTAGGGCCCAGTGAGTATCATTGTCTCAGCTCCAGTTTCTCCTGTAAGGTCACCTGCAAGGCAAGCCACTGGGCACTGTTCTGAGGGACTCTCTTAATCAGACAATTTGAACTGTTAAGACCTACCCTAGTTATGGTCAACAACCTTCTGATGGCTGCCAACATAAAAGGACATGGGAGAAGGACAGTTTGGCTTCCCACTGCCTGCTTCATTCTTGCTGGAAGTTTGTCTGTTCCACTGCTGTCACTGCCCCCTTTACTGAATTACTCAGAATAATGTAACTCTCCCTTTGATCATTTCTGTCCCTTTTGTGAGCATCACTTCCCTGACACTTTTGACTTCATTCTTTTTCTAAAGCTGTCCTTCCTGCTAGATGCCTGTTTATCCATTCTGTGGTTGACCTCCATGCAGCATAACTCGAAGACATGACCTTTTCTCTTTCTCTGCTTCTAGATTTACAGCCTGTCTGCCCTGAGGTTTCTCTTTGAAATACAAATAAAATTTCCCTGGCGTTTCTTATTGAGTCTATTCTTAAATTATTTTATTAATGAGACAAAGAGTTCTAGTAGGGCACCACAACTTCACTGTTAATGGCTAAATTTCACTTCACTCTGGTAAATCTATAGAATGACACTTACCCATTTCCAGAAACAGTATGTGCCTAGATATGTTAAATAGACATCTCAGCCATTTGTCCAGAGATTGAGACCTTACAGTAGTACTAGTCACAAAGTGTTGCTGACCTGTCCTATACTCGTAGGAATGCAAATACCTTCCATTATGAAACCAGAGTCCAGAGTAGCTTATAACACGGACTCATTCAGGACAACGCCCAGCATGAAAAACCCATGCTGTAGTTCTTTCATTTGTATATTAATATATATAGAAGAATTTTTCTATTTTCTCTTCCCAGATAATTCCAATGAACCAGTGAGTCTTGAATAAATAAAAAAGAAAATTTCCATGATATTTCTCTATCTTCTCAATGATTTATATTTTTACCTTCTGTTAAGTCTTGCATTAGTGTTTCTGTCCTTTGGTATTTAAAAGCTATGATCTGAGAAGAGTTAGGATCTGTTTTCTATACCCGAGATTTCAGAGAATGAGACAACATTGACTATAAATGAAGGAGCACAGTATTGTGCTTTATGAAGTAGACAAAGACTTCTCTCCACAGTACAAACAAACAAACAAACAAAAAACAACTAAATCGACAACAACAACAAGATGTTCTTACCTCAATGGGAATATGATGATTTGCTCTGTAGCTAAATATGAGTGACGTTTCAATTATTTAGAGGCTAAGATAGCCCAAAATAACTTGAGTGACATTCAGCATTTTAATTCTCCAAAATAATTAGAATTCTAATTAGTCAGCTTCGGAGGAAGCTGAATGTAGATTTAGCTTTCCCTCACATCCTCTCCTGGCAACTTCAGTTAGCATTTCCTGTTATTTAAGCCACTCCTGACCAAATTTGCACATGTAACTAAACAGGCACTTTCTGTTTCATTTCTCAGTCAAAGCTCATTTCCAGGAAATGCTTATTTATAACCACAGGTAAAAGAAGTGTTGTTGGGCAACTGAATGTCTGTTGATTAACCAATGTTTTTGTTTGTAAAGTAATTTGTCCTACACTTTTCTGTTTCTTTCATTTTTTCTTTTACTGTCACTAATTTGAAGTAAGAAGACTTGGTTGCACTGGTCTTTTTCTGTTATATTCATTGCATTGTGAAAGCTTCCCCAGGCCTCAATATTATTGTTTATGGAGACTGGCATGTTATTTATAGTAGAGCCAGCATGAGCTACCTAACCAGATCTATATAGTACTGTTTTACAAAACCTAAACATACTATGATGTAGCAGCTTCTTTATCTGTTGATCAATAGTTGCTGGATATTAGAATTGTTTCAGTCTATGGTTCTTACAAATAATGTTGCTATAAATATTTGTATATGAATGATTAGTAGACTTCTATTTTCATCTCTCATCAGTAAAAGCACCTAAAAGCACAGTGGCAGGATGACATGATGAATGGAAGTTTACCTTCAAATACAGACATGGTGTTTCCTGAAGTGACTGAACAATTTATCATCCTTACAAACAATGTATTAGTCTTATGCTACCTGCTGTTCATTGCTTATACTGCTAGTTCTTTAAATGGACTTGTTATGAACTTACATTGTGCTTGAATTTGCATTATTGTGGGACTATGTTGAATGCATTTTCATGTTCCTATTAACATTTAACATATCTTCTATTATGGAATTTGTTTTCAAATTATGCCTGTTTTCTTTTTGGTTGTATTTCCTCTTATAATTTCCCACAATTCTTTATGTATTTTAAGTCTTTGGCGAGACACCTTCATGAAAAGTTTCTCTTAACCTGTAGCTTGACATTTCATTTTCTAGCTGTTTTCTCACCATATCAATTTTTATGTTTTAATGTAATCTATGTAATCATTATTTCACTGTTTAATGTTAATGAACTAATTAATGCATCGGTTCATAAAACATCACTTGCCTAACCACTGTCATGTAGATGTTTTGGCATGATTTTCTAAGAATTCAGTAGTTCATCTTAGAAAGAGTCTATGACCTACTTTTCTTTAATAATTGCTTTTGTATGAGATGATAAATGAGGATGCCTTTATCACACATTACAACTACCTGTTACTTCAGACACCATTAATTGAAAACACTGTCACTTTCTACCAATATTTTTGGACAGTTTTGTCATAGATTAGTGATATGAATGAGGATGTTTTTAGACTTCATTCTACTGTAAAACACTGCAAAGGGAAATGAAAAAGCATTTAAATTAACAGAGAAATACTACTTCTTCATGAATTACAAAACTCAAGTTTTCGAAGCATAAATTTAAGTTTGTATGCATTGTTTTCAGTGCCAATGAAAATTCTAAGCTTCAAAATTAAATTTTATTCATATATTTTTCCTTTTTATTTTAAATAGATTATTTTTTCACATAATATGCCCTGATTACAGGCCCACCCCTCCCGTCTCACACACACACACACACACACACACACACACACACACACACACACACACACTCTCATCACAGTTCCTCCCCACCTCCCTTCCCATCCTGGTCCATTCTTTCTGTCTCTCATTAGAAAAGAATAGACTTCTAAGGAATAATAATAAAGTTTCACAAAATATAATAAGATAAAATAGAAACTGTATCAGATTAGAAGTTGGAAAAACAGAAGAAAAAGAGTCCAGAAGATGGCACAAAAATTAGAGATCCACTATTTCACATACTCAAGAATCTCATGAAAAACACTAAACTGGAAGCACTAATATATACTCAGAAGACCAGGTATACACCTGTGCAGGCCCTGCCCATGCTGCTCCCTTAGTCTCTGTGAGTTCATTGAGCTTTGATCACAATGACTTAGAGGGTCTTGGTTATTTGGTGTCCTCCATTCCCTCTGGCTCTTACACTCTTTCTGCCTCATCTTCCATGATGGAGAGGAATTTGAAGGAGATACTCATTTTTGTCTTTATTAAGAAATTTTTTTATTTTACATATCAACTAGAGATCCCATTCTTCCCCCCCCCACCTCTTGCTCCCTCCCTAAGCTCCCCCAACCCATCTACATCCCCTCTGTGGGAAGTCTGCAAAGCCTGGTACATTCAGTTGAGGCAGGTCCAAGCCATTCTCCCTGCACCAAGGCTATGTAAAATGTCCCACAATAGGTAATGGGCTCATGCACCAGTGATGGATCCTAATCCCACTGCCAGGGGCCCCTCAAACAGACCAAGCTACACAGCTGTCTAGCTTATGCAGAGGGCCTAGTCCAGTTACATGCAGGCTTCAAAGCTGTTGGGCTAAAGTTCACGAATTCCCTTATGTTCTCTTTCCCCATCCACTACCCTCTATTGCCCACATTCTGCCCCAGTTTACTCAGGAGATTTCATTTGTTTACCCTTCCTGGAATATTCAATGTGTCCCTCTTAGGGTCTTCCTTGTTAACTAGCTTCTCTGGAGCTGTGGGTTGTAGTCTAGTTATCTTTTACTTTACATCTGGTATCCACTTATGAGTGAGTACATAGCATATTTGTCTTTCTGAGTCTAGGTTACCTCACTCAGGATATGTTTTAGTTCCATTTATTTGCCTGCAAATTTCATGATATCATTGTTTTTTACTGCTGAGTTGTACTCTATTGAGACATCCCATTTAAGGCTGAGCCCAAGAGTGGTATAGCTGGATCTTGGGGGAGATTGATTCCCAATTTTCTAAGAAAGTACCATATTGATTTCCAAAGTGGTTGTACAAGCTTGCATTCCCACCAGCAGTGGAGGAAAGTTCCCCTAGTTCCACATCCTCTCCAGCATAAAGTGTCTTCAGTGTTTTTGATCTTAGCCATTCTGACAGGCATAAGGTGGTATCTCAGAGTTGTT